GTAGGGGCTCCTGGGAGGGGGGGGGGGGGGTAAGCACTTAACCCTCTAATTGCAACCAAACCTAACTCCTACACTTTACACCTGCAGTCGCACAGCTGGGGACAGGAGGGCATCAGCTGGAGCATGATTGAATCCACAATTCGTCTCTAGTGCTGCCATCTCTCATTTATTGAGTCGCCGACTCCGCTGCCAGGTAGTCAATTGTCTGGAAGAGGGTCTCCTTCGTCTGCAGCATGAAGCGAGACGGGTCCGTGCACGTGTGCACTGTCAGGTTCTCGTCCATTCTCTCAAGGGCCCACCTCTTCAAGACGATGTTGCGGCAGAAGAGGCAAGGAACTTTTCCACTTGCCCCTTTGTTTTCACACATTTGCTTGAGAGCTGCTTCGTCAGCTATGACCAGACCCAGCTTGGCCACGAGAACGAACTTGCTGTTTGCCCCCAACGGCATGAGCAGACCCATGCTGAAGTCGCAAACCGGCTGGAAAAAAGATAGAAAGGCATGCTTTGCCACCTGCGACAGTGCATCCTTCAGCATGCTGACGGTGCTGCTACGGCTGGTGGTCAAAAGCCACCAGCCGTCCTCGTTGCTGATTGCCTGATGGCCGATTTCCTTGATCGTCCAATAAAATGTCTGTAATTTGCGGTAATTGTGCGGCTTTATTCGGTTCCCGGGACTTACTTCGTCGCTGTAGATGCAGATGTTCCAGGAGTGCTGTGGAGAGCAAGGATTGCTCGCTGCCTTCGACTCGAACATGGTCTGTAACCCTGAACCGTAGCTATCCCTAGAGCCACCAGTTAAAATGGGAGTTGTAGCCGTAGCTAAATTAATACATTTACCTTGTGTTGCTTAGGGGTTTAGGGTTTAGGGTGGCGCATTTACCTTGTGAAAAGTACCTTGGTTACTTAGGTAAACCCTAGACCCTAAATCCTACAGCCTAACCCCAGAGAGTACCCTTTTGGTACCCTTCAAGGAACCCATGCAGGTTGCCTAAACCCGAAAATCCAAGTAATAACAGACAGAACTACTATCCGAAACCTAAGTACCTGCTTATTGGGTCCATTGGAATCCTAAGGGTTTGAGAAACCCTAAAAAGGTACCCTAAGCCTCAAAACCCTAAACCCTAAAACCCGACCTCCTAATGGTGCCCTTAAGGAACCCGCAAAGGGAGACTTACTTCCCAAATAAGCCACGAAAATACAAGGTTCAACTTTCAGATTACTACTCAATGGTAAGAACCCAAAGAGTTCTAAAGGTTGGGTATTGGAGCACTAAGGAGATACCCTAAACCCTAATCCCTAAACTCTGAAACCTAAACCCTAAAACCCTGACCCCTAACACCCTTTTGGCTTCCTGAGATCGTCTCACCCTGGGCCTCCAGTCGCTCTCGGGTTTCTGCGCGCTGCTGCCTCGCGGCACTTCAGGGTTTAAGGTTCAGGGGTCAGGGGTTTGGAACCCTAAACCCCAAACCCTAAACCCTAAACCGTGTTGGGTTCGGTCTGGGGTTTAGGGTGACCAGCAGAACACACACCTGGCTGAACCTTGAAGGGCTAATCCTGAGTTCTTGGTCCTACGATGATACTGACCATTGCTGTTATCGCTGCTGTTGCTAGCGTGATGATCAGTCGTAGTACTACTACTATTGCCATCACTACTCATATCGATTATGATTGTTACTGTTTTTGCCTAGCTAGTGCAGCTAGTGAGCATTTAGACACTGCTTTGTTGCTTTATGTTGTTGTTTCTGATGTCAACATGATTGTTCTCACTGCTATTGGTATTGCTAGTCTGATTGATGTTATGATTATTGTGAATATGCGTAGCTTGATTATTGCGAATTTATTGATGAATGTCTGTATCGTTGTGTTCAAAAGCCTTTCTTTCCCAGGCTTGTGTGTTTTTATTAACCGTTTTAAGCTAGGTTGAATTGCTACTACATTAAAAAAAGCATTACTGTTTGTTGTTCTCTTAATCCCATTACCATTTGTTGCTCTTCTGGCAAGTAAGATTATCATCTACGTCCATATTCATGTCATTTTCATATATAGTGTGTAGTTATTCTTGTTTATCATTATTCCTATTGTTGTTATCGTTATGTATACTAAGATCATGCGGGTTATTGTTATTGACATAAAACTTCTTCTGAATATTCCACTGATTATGCCTGTCTTCGTGATTATTGGCATTGCTGCTCGCGTCTTTACTATTGACATGATTACAATTATAATTTGGTGATTTCATTGTTGTTGCCACTAGACATATGAAATGGCAATATCGGTATTTCTTAGTACTGTTACTATTATTACTACTAACATTGCAGCTGGTATTAACATGATAATGATGATGGTGGTGATGATGGCGACGACGACGTCGATGACGATGATTATCACTATGCGGGTTGCTAGCGTTTTTTGTTTTACCTAGGAAGATTATGCTTGCTATGGGTAACCAGCGTAACCAGCGTATGACTATCTTTATAATGAGAATTGTTACCCTAAGGGTCCATGTACTCATATAGTATATACATTGGCCCCAAAGTACCTATATAGAGACTACTTTAAGGCCAAGGTATATACTATTGGGGCCATGGACCCTTAGGGTTAGATGGATTTAAGTCCTTGGGATGCTGTGTAATCTCCAAACGGAGCCCGTTCAAACACAGTGTCGCAGGTTTCCCTGCGTAAGATCAAGGCCTTAGTATTCAGAATGGAGTTTAGGGATATCTTGTAGTATCGTCTGATTCAGAAACCGAAGGAATAATGCCAGCAGTTGTTCCCCTTAAGGGTCCATGTGCCCAAACAGGCCCCAAAGTACCTATTTAGGGACTACCTTAAGGCCAAAGTATATACTATTTGAGCACGTGGACCCTAAATCCTAAACTCTAAACCCTAAACCCTAAACCCTAAACCTTAAACCTTAAACCTTAAACCCTAAACCCTAAACCCTAAACCTTATGGGAGCTGTTCTAGGCGAGCAGCCTCAGGTGTCTGGAGACGTAGAGGGCACGTGCCACCAGCCACATCACAGCACCCTCAGCCGAGAAGGGTTTAGGTTTAGGGTTTAGGGTTTGGGGTTTAGGGTTTAGGGTTTAGGGTGGGTTTTAGGGTTTAGGGTTAGGGTTTAGGGCATCACAGCCCCCTCAGCCGAGAAGGGTTTAGGTTTTTACGGTTTAGTTTATGGTTTAGGATTTAGGGTTTAGATTTTTAGGGTTTAAGGTTTAGGGTTTAGGGCATCACAGCCCCCTCAGCCGAGAAAGGTTTCGGGTTTTGTGGGCTTAGGGTTTAGGGTTGGGGTTTAGGGCATCACAGCCCCCTCAGGCGGTTTTGGGTTCCCTCATAGTATAGTCATAATAAGGATCCCTACGGAATAATATTGGTACGTCTATATTACGCTGCTTCGACAGAATTTTTGAGGGCGCCCTAAACTCTACAATAAACCTCATAGTACCAATAACCCCAACCGACTTTTGAGCCGAAGACCATACTGCAGGAAAGCTGTGGGCTAGTTGGAGCCCCTACAATCTGCTTCCATTCCACTGCCACTGACAACTGTGGCGATGGTAATGGGGGTAGCTATGACCATGGCAATGACGGTGGTGGTGATGATGATGAAGAAGATGATGATCATGATGGTATGGTGATGGTAATTTGTCAATGCTCTTGCTGCACGATGCCCAAGGAACATCACCGATGCTTCATCAGACGACAGCATAGTCTTGAGCGACGCTGCTGGCATCAAGAAATGCTTTATAGGTGCCCTTTGTTTGTAGCTGTCGTTGTTGCGTGATTCACAGTTGATGCAGCAAGCTCCCCCCCCCAAAAAAAAACAAACGCCAAACTCCGAAGATCCAAAACAAGACCATAACCTTGAGGATCAAAACCTGAAAACGCGAGTCCTTAGAGCCTTTGGGCTATACTTAAATCGAATTCCCACACCCCAAACCCTAAACCCTTAAGGCCTTACAGTGAACCCCAGAAAGTTGGAACATGAGTTTAGGAGGATTGGTGCTGGAATCCCCTATACTTTACCGTAGGGGCATGAGGATATTGATGTTCCAACTTTCTGGCATACCCTAAACCTATACTGAACCCTACACCCTTAAACCCTGACCCCAAAGCCCTGAACCCTAAACCCAGGGACCCTAAACCCTCCACTCTGACCGAACCCTCTAAGGGCATCCTTCGAGCACCCGGCAGTGGCCGCAAACTCCTCCCAGTGCAGGGGCTGCGGCTGCATCTGCCGGAACGGTTTCGGGCTTTTGGGTTTAGGTTATTGGGGTTTTGGGATTTCGGTTTATAAGGCTTGTAGGATTTCTAGGCTTTGCCGGGCCTATATAGCGTTTAGGGCTTAGGACTTAGGGTTTTGGGTTCTGGGTTTGGAGCTTAGGGTGTAGGATTGTCCGAGGATTCCAGCACAACGTGCAGGCATTACGGGTCTGGGTTCCGGTTTAGGTTCTTGGATTGACCGAGGTGACCCTAAACCCTAAATAAACCCTAAACCCTAAATGTACCTACTGTCACGTTGGGCTGACCTCCCGGTTTGAACAGTGGCTTGGCTCATCTACCCTACGAGCTTAGGGTTTAGGGGTTTAGGGTTTAGGATCTAGTGTTTAGGGTTGAGGGGTTGAGGGTTTGAAGGGTTCATGTACCCCGATAGTATATGCTTTGGCCGCAAAGTAGTCCCTTTAAAATTACTTTGGGGCCAATGTATAGACAAAATTAGTACATGGACCCTTAGGGCTAGGTAGGATCGAAGGTCTGGGGTCTTGGAGCTTATCGTACTGCAAATCTATGTGGTCGCCGTTTTGCGAGCACCTGTCTAAAGCGTAGACCGCGAGCTCAACTACACCCAACATACACTGGGACTATGTAACATAGACCTAGAACCCTTTCGGACACGGTTTAGGGTTTAGGGTTTAGGGTTTAGGACCCTAGGACCCTAAACCGACAGTGTGGCGCACCCAGCTCGCGCCGGGAACGAAGCTCAGCAACCTTGGCCACGTCGCGGTTGCTCTTGAGGCTTAAGGGGCCTTAAACCTTGCAAGCCCCTGTAGCCCTTAAACCGCTTATATTAACCCTAAACCCCAAATGCCTAAACCCCCAAACCCTAAACCCCTAAACCCTAAATGCCAAACCCCTCAACCCTACACCCCTTAACCCTAAACCTCCAAAACCCTAAACCCCAAAATCAGAAATATTATATTCGGGCTTTTGAGGCTGTTCGGCGCGTGGCTTCAGTCCGAGGATTGTAGGGGCCTGAATAATTAGAACAAGGGGTTTAGGGTTTAGGGTTTAGGGTTCCTGCAAAATGCTCCTTTATTAGGGTTTAGGTTTCCCGAAGGGTCCAAAAAGTAAAATTGTAGCTACTTTGTAGGTGTTTGGGCCCCAAAGTATACACTATACTATACCTATAGGACCCTTTGGGTTATTAGAGTTTAGGGTTTAGGGTTATACATTCTTATGGCTGGTGCACCTTGCAACTTGTCAGTAGATCGTCGGTTAAAGCAGCTGACGGGATCGAGAATCGAGTCCCACAGTTTAGGGTCTGGTGCTTAGTAGGGAATGGGGGAATGGATCCCTATGATAGTCCCTGAAGGTCTTTTATAGTAGTCCCTATAACCCATTCCCCCATTCCCTACTAAGCACCAGATAGTTTAGGGTCCTTAATGTCATGCAGGATTTATATCATCAGCAGTATGGATGAAGGTCTTCGGCTTGGATCTAAGGACTTGTTCCCAACTTCCCAGAGAACCCAAT